TACATCATCTATCGGTGATGTGGCGTGAGGCACCAACTAACCACAGACATTATTCATTCTAGAAAGGTAGTGCGGAAAATATGGCGCTGGTATCTCCACGGCAGAACTTAGTGGCGCCCTCTATCAAATTTCTTACGATAGTGTCAACAACCCCTTTTTTACTTCATTTATAAAACAATATTTATTGAAAATCATGAAGCTTCTATGATGGAACTAAATTCTGAGAGAATCGTTGTGGTCGCTCTCTGTCGTATTTAATTCAAGTATACCGAAATTAATGTGGTTTTCATCACCACTTCTAGTTGAGAACACCCCTGATAACTGTATTTGGAATAACAAGCGTAAAAAGAAAAGTATATTTACTGTATTTATCAAAATTTTCTCATTCTTTAATTGACTTTACCTACCTAATTTAGTTTAAATCAATTTCATATAGAGATTGTTGTTGTTGATTAGCTGGGATTCAAGTACAACTAGCAATACAGCTCATATTTACAGTACCAGCTAGCAATTAAAAAAACTTGAGACGGAAAACTCACAGTAATTTTGAGTATAATTATTTCAGTCTTTATACCAACTAACATTGCAAACCGGCATTCAAACTAATTAGTGAATGCCTTAATGAGCGAGATAAAGTCACATGTGCAGACGAGTTTGTATATTTAATTAGATTAGATATTTTTTTTCAATATTTAAATTGAACATATAGTTGAACCAACTAAAAACATGTACCAAGTGAAAGTCTTGCCAGTTCTTCTCAAATTAAGTAGCTAGCCGAACTGGTCGGTTGGAATAGCGATAGAAAATATGAAATAACCAAGAAGCCGAAATGTCCTATGTGAAGAAATTACTTTGAGTTTAATATTTCATATAATAATATTAATAATCTCAGGACAATTCACACAGCGCCATCTAGATGCAAGTTAAGCTATCTAAAACTGGTATGTGTATATGTGTTATGGCTACTAGATAACTGATACAAATATATAGATACTTTTTTTTTCGTAAATACATACATATTATACATAGAAACACCCAGATCGATACAAAAAATCATACTCATAAATACAAATGTTTGTAACGTGCGAGGAATCGAACCCGCGGCCATCGGAAGTAAAGCGCTAGACCACCAAGGCCGTCATAATATCTCAACTTTTCTTCTATAGTTACTGATTACTCGTACCTACTGATTAAAATGGTTAGAGTGTAATGCTAGTACGCAGAATGTGTGTTATTTCTGTGGATTATGGATTGGTTTCCCCAATCCGCTCTTGTTTTAATACCGGCGTTGCACGAATGATGATGAAATTCGGTAATATTTGCGAGGAGCGCAATGAATACGTAATAGGTTCACATACACGCTCCCGGAGTTCAATTGTGATTTTGTCTTACATGACTCCCTAATTGAGATGTTGAATCTTATTATGTATTAGATAAATGTAATTGTGTTTGCAATTTGATTTTGTAATCTTCACTTCATTCATGCGAAATAATATTATCTATAAATTATCTATCAAAAACCTTATACAAATTTTATATATATACTTATACAAAAACTTTTCGAAATTTGCGCAAACGGAGAAGTATGATTTCACACATCTACGACTATACTAATATTATAAAGCTTAAGAGTTTGTTTGTTTGAACGCGCTAATCTCAGGAACTACTCATTCGAATTGAGTAGTTATTTTTGTGTTAGATAGTTCATTTGTCGAGGAAGGCTTTAAGCTACATAACATTACGCTACGACCAATAGGAACGGAGCTGCAATGAAAAATATTGCAAAAAGTGCGGAAATGAACACGCAGACGAAGTGGCGCGGGTCAGCTAATATTTTATATAAAGAAGGAGTTTTGTTCCAAATTTCTTTCTATTCTTTCCAATTTTACTTACGATGGTCGCAGGTTGGATTCCTTGCACGGTATAAAAAAAATATGTTTTCATGAGTATGATTGTTTATATTAGTCTGGGTATTTTATAGGTGTATTATGTATGTATTTACAAAAAAAATGTATCTACGTATTTATATCCCTAGTGGTACTAGATGGCGCTATGTGAATTGTCCAGGAATATTATTTATTATTATTATTATTATATTAATAATTGTCTAAGAGTGATTAAGAAATAAATAATAATATTAAACTGACATTTTATAATATTGGATAGGTGTAAGTATCATTATCGATTTTAACATAATCTCTCTTGTTATAGCCGAGTGTGCACCAGCTCTAGCACCATGGAAACCACCAAATGAAGTCACTACTAAGTGAATCCAATCACACAACAACGACGCACATGGCATATACGATATAAACGATATTGTACACTTCGAAGACAATGATATAGTCATGCGAGACGCTAAAACAGAGGAACAAAACAATTTAGATAACTCGGTTGAACAGTTCAAAAACTACAGAATGGCAAAAGATGTTACAAAAATAAAAAGTGAAATAGATACTAAAATTAATGATATTAATAATGATGTGAGCAATGATTTAAATAGTGATAACGATAAAGCGATGAGAACAGCTAAAGTTGATGATAAATGCGAATGTCATCATGGCGGTGGTTGTGTTGGTGGAGTATGTTTATGTCCGTTGGGATATGCTGGAGAAAAGTGCGAAATTACTTTGGACCTAAAGGTAATAATAATAAAATTGATTTTAATTGTTGACAGAATAACTTACAATAATACAGGGAACATGTTCCAAACGATCAGGGTGAACAGCTTGGTTCCTTATCTACAAATTCTGAAAGCCAAAAATCTTAGAAACTGACATTTTCAAACATTAAATCGAAGTTATTCTACATACATTACCTACATATTCTTCACTCTTGAGTAATATTGCTACAGTATGAAATTAAAAATTTAATTTCAGATATGTTTTTCTATAATTTTTTTCTTCAAAGACCACGTCACATATGATATGGAAATATATAAAAAACATATGCATATCTTTCGTAATACTTAATATAATTATCATAATCTTGAATTTCAATAAGCATAATTATATTTCATAAAAACTAAAGATAATGATCATAATAATTTTAATTTCAGGTTCCACGTTTTAACGGGTCTTCATACCTCCGTCTACCAGGTCTCGGCAACTCCGCACAGTCGTGGCTAGATATACAGGTAAGTGCATATTTTATATTACTTAAATATATTACAAATTAACCCGGTAGACCTTGTAAGAAGTCGTTGCGTATTACCTTAGTTTCACCTATTTCATCCGCTTAGCAGTTTGCTTTGTAAGATGTGTTCTAGTTAAAGGGTGTCATGAAGCAGTGAAATTGCTTGAATAAGATAACATCTTAGTCTATAGTGTTGTCCATGTACATAGGCGAAGATTACCACTTACCATCAGCTAACTAGCAATAAACTATAATGTTAATATATGTATAACTCGAAAGTTAGGAGCTTGGGCAAAGCCAAGAATAGCCACTAATGTAGATCTTTAAATACTATAAAATTAAGTCACTTCTGCGGTCTGTTCGCTTAGATCTTTTAAACTACGCAATGGATTTTGATGCAGTTTTTAGCAATACATAGAAAGTTTCAAGAGAAACAATACAAGTACACCCGTGCAAAGCTGGAGCGGGTAGCTGGTAATATAATAAAGCAAATTCAGTAACAATTTGTAATAAAGTAATCACTAATCTGGATTATTAATAAGCAAAATACAGTTTGAATATTGTCTCGTTAACATCTTAGTAGAATAATCTGAATCTGTAATGGTTCTGTTTATTATATCAGATCAATACATAAAGTTGAAGAGTTCATTTGCTTGTTTGGTCGAACTAATCTTATAAGGAACTACAGATTCCAATCGTACTTCCAGATTGTTTGTATTGGTTTAGGTATTCTCTATGTATATTATACCTATATATTTGTAAATTGTGTTTAAATATTTCTATCAGTTATTATTATTTCTATCATTTAGTAGTCATACCTTAGTTTAGGACGAGATTGCAATGGGTATGTGAATTTTCCTAGGTTTTATATTATTACTAGCTGTTCCCGCGGTTTCATCCGCATGATATTTATAGCCTATATATTATTCGGATATATAACCTATATTACTGTAAAGTTTCATTAAAATTAATTCAGTAGGTTTTGGTAAAGAGTAACAAACATCTATTCATACTCACAAACTTTCGCGTTTATAATATTAACAAGATTTTGCTAAAAAATGTTAATAAACATCCAAATTAAATATTAAATCCTTTACTAACTAAATATTTTCATAATAAACCTGCCCGAATATTTTTTGTAACTTTTTCGTTTTTATAAACAAAACGGGCCCCTTAACCACATCACAGTTCTCATAAATAAACTCGGTAAGTGCTAGTAAAACAAAGTAATAAGCCGACTTTACACATATATTTTTAAACAAGCAAAAGTTTCCCGTGGTCGTTTAAAAGCTTTCGCGAAAAAATAATTTGTTTAAGGGGAAAAAATGTTGGAAACCTGACTAACGCCACGCGACAGCTTGCCGAGTTATGAAATAAATTGGTCCTGGCTTAACGTCTGTCACGAATGTTCGTCTACGCATTTTTTGATGTAAATATACATTAGAATACTTAACGCAAATGCAGCTTTTTAATTTACTGCTTCCTTTTGATGTATTAGTTAATATTTTGCTGGCGAAATAATGCTGGTTTTATTAATTCTCCAGGTGTCGTCAAGATTATTTAAATTTATAGTCATGGTTTTTCAGTATTTTTTTTAAATATATTAAATATTTTTACTTTTTGTATATATAAATGGTATTTAACTGTGTCATTTATCTTAATAATATGTATTATTAGATTTCACCGCCTTATTAGGTATCTCCGATCAGCTACGGTTGACTTGTAGGGAATACCATCAGGTATTAAGTCCACCACGTATACAAGTTTGTGTGCAAAAGAATAAATAAATAAAATTATTTATCTGTCTTTCCCAGATAACTCTCAAACCGACTGACGGCGATGGCTTGGTGCTGTACAACTCCGAACATGCGAGCGGAGACGGAGATTTCTTCTCCCTTCACCTCAGAGATTACTTCGTGGAGTTCGCTTTCGATCTTGGCTCTGGTATTGCATTGGTCAGGTTAGTGAAATACCATATGATATTGACAAATAATATAAAATGTCGAATGGAATGCGAGATAAGGTAGACAGTGTGTGATGTATTTATTTAATATTTTATTTTTGTATATAAACCTTTAGAACCTGTAGTATATGTTTCTCTTTCTCTTCTCTCTTTCAGCATAAAGTAATCCACTACTGGACGTATGCCTCTTGCATAGTTTTCCACTAGTTCTATCTGTGGCGCACCTTGTCCAGGTCTGCCCTGCCGGCAGATAGTCTGATGACATCAGGAACACCTGATGTCATCAGACTATCTGGCGGTTGGCCTGCCTACGCTTCTGCTTCCGATCCTAGGTCGCCACATTAGGGATCTGTATGTCCATCTGTCGTCATTACTTCGACATACATACAGATGATGTCGGTAACTCCAGTGCGCCTTCTGATCTCAGTATTTCGCAGTCTGTCTCATAGGGAGATACCGAGCATAGATCGCTCCATTGCTCTTTGGGTGACTTCTAGCTTGTTGACCCTTTCGGCGATTAGTGTCCACGTTTTGCAAGCGCAAGTTATCACTGGTAGAACGCATTGCTTGTACAATCTTGTTTTCAATATTTGCGTGATCTTAAATTTAAAAACATCTTTGAGTTTACCAAAACCGCTCCATCCTAGTTGAATTCGCCTATCCAACTCTGCACCCAAGGACTCTGCATCTAGTCGGATTTTTTGGCCAATATAAATGTACTCTTCCACATGTTTTATGATGGTTCCCTGAATTGAAACCGATATAGTATTCCGTTCACTCAGTCTTCTGCAGATTCATCTTCAGGCCTACTCTATCAGATACTTGACTCAATATGTATTATGTATTCATATATTATTTATTTCTATTGTTATACTGCGCCACCTACCTTTCCTTTACTCACAGCTTCCAAATCCCAGGTTGTCTGTAAGAGATTGCTTTGAGCGATACGGCCGCCATTTGTTAGCATATTTTTTTGTAGTTTTTTTTACTGTGCATAATAAAGAGTTACCTATTTATTATTATACTTTGATACTTTGACCGATCGTCGTGGAGATCTTTGGGGGAGGCCTAAGTCCAGCAGTGGACGTCTTCCGGGCTGCGATGATGATGATGATGACTTTGCTGATTTAGCTTTGATTACACCAATACTAATATAAATAAATAAAATCATCTTTTCAGATCTGCGTACCCTTTAAAACCGAACACCTGGCACCGAGTATCAGTGAGCCGTTCTGGTAAACATGCTTCTCTGCGTGTGCGCGCTTCATCAACCAATGACGTCAGCGTGACGTCACCTCGAGATGACGCGACTCGCTCGGTGACGTCACGCGGCGCCGCCCGCCGGCTCACTCTTAGGCAGCCGATGCTATTGGGAGGAGCGCCTCACCCCTTACCACCTAGACTGGCCTTAAGGACGTCTTTCAGTGGATGCGTAGGCCAAGTAAGTTTATAAACTTATTCTCTTTGATTTCATTTATTTATTTACTAGTTGTGCTCACGTGTTATAATGACCAAATATAGAATAAATATTCAGTAATCTAACCCAAATGCCAAAAATAAATATCATCGTTGTAGCTTGAAAAATGATGATATTTCCATACAAACATTCATATCACCTTTCAACCCTTATTTCGCATTATAAAGTAGCCTACAGGTATGTCCTTTCTCAGGGTCTAGATTATATGTGTACCAAATTTAAATCGGTTTTGTAGTTTTACCGTGAAAGTAAGACAGACAGACGGACAGAGTTACTTTCGAATTTATAATTTTTTTTTTTAATTAAATTTCGGCCTCGGTGGTCTAGCCGTTTAGCACACCGCTTCACTTCCGATGGTCGCGGGTTCGATTCCTCGTAAACAAACATTTGCTTTCATGAGTATGATTGTTTGTATCGGTCTGTTTGTTTACGTGTGTAACTTTTTTTTTATTACTTTCCGGACTACTCTAAAGCTATTGGTCGCAGATGGCCATTACAGTTTCACCGGACGATTTGTGTGTCATTGTGCTTGTGAGTTTGATGTTACATGAAGAACTGTATGCTTTTTCCAGTTGGTAATAAATGATGAAGAGTTGGCTGTAGTGGCATCAGCGTTGGGTGGTTTGAACGTAGATAACTGCGACGAACCTAATAATACGACGTGTCTGTAAGTATTCTTTCTTTTATCTTTCTTGATATAAAAATACTGCCATAGACATATTTATTTATCTTTCTTGATTTAACACGTTGAAGACCGTATTAAAAAATCTTATTTCTCACATAGGCATCGCCATTTTTTTATTGTTAATTAGGTATATTCTTTTTTTAAATGTCTTTAGTGTACAATAATTTGAGGTAGACATTATTTAACCCCTAGATTTATTTCAATTAAAGTGCCTGTTGATCTCTCGGTCCCATTGTGTAAATTTACTTTCGTTGCGGAGTGACCCACCGGTGGGCATGTCTTTAACGTGTTAAATAACATATACACACTGTTATAACGATTATCAAAAATGGGAGAAGTTTATCGTTATCATTTAAATCTATTACAGACACTTATAATAAATCAGATCTGTTAGTTCAGAATGTGGTTTGATTCAAGAACAACAGATGCGAAATTCTGCTGTAATGATTTCAAATGAGATTTTACATAATTATAACAATTTTCACGCGCGCGATTTCTTTGCGTAACATATTCCCCGTTTTCGCAACAATTTTCATTGCAGCTCCACTCCTATTGGTCGTGGCGTGATGCTATATAGCCTTTAGCCTTCCTCGATAAATGACCTACCCAATACTAAAAGAATTCTCAAAATCAAATCTGTTTCTGAGAGATTATACGGAATTTCTAAACTAACAAACTTTACCTCTTTGTAATATAGATTTATTGTGTATACTGCACCGTATAGTGACCGCCAGGACATACATTCTATTGTATAATATTATAATACAATATAATTAGTAACCAAAATCCAAAAGACCAGTCCATAAACAACACGTTCACGAATATGACGCTTTAATAAAGATTATATTTACCTTTCCAGCAACAGCGATTTATGTAGAGAAATACTTCAACCCATGTTACAATATCAACATAATATATCTGATAACAACATACACCATTCAATTGTACCCAAGAAAGGGTTCAGACCCAAATACCATAAAGTCAAATCGAAGAAACACAACCAACATTTGCATACAGAGAAGTCCAAAAAGAAGAAGTATTTTGCAAGTAAGAAGCATGACTACTTGCAAGACACGAGAAGTAACGATGTGGTAACGGAGAAGCCTGTTTACGATGGACAAACATACATGCAAGTTAAATATTTAAATTCAAATGAGATAAATTGGGGTGATACTAATACATATCCAAGTTTCACTGGCACTGATAGTTTTATACATATTGATGATGAAGAAACTATGAAAAGGTAAGAAGAATTTGTAGTATTTGATTTTAAATAGTTTAAGACTTTTAAATTACGGTATCGGTGGTAAGTTAGAACCTATAGGGTTGGTACTAACTAAATTTTGAAAATAAGTTGAGAATACTTCGTAGAAACTTTAAGACTCATAGTCTAAAATGAAAAATTACAATTCAAGAAATCGATATCACAGGTCAGAACTACCCCGCTACAGTTGCTTCCATTATTTGAAAATTTGACATTTACACTTGTCTATTTAGTCTCTGAGATTAAAAAACAGACTATAAGTACTATAACCATATTTGTATACATATATATACTAATGACTACGTGAAATACGTATAAATAAATATTATTCGTCGTAAGGCAAATCGTCGTTGCCACAAGAACATAGCGTTTCACAGATTTAATAAAGAATTAACAATATTCAAGTTTAAACTGTCCATATTGTATTGAAATTATGACATGGCCTCATTCAGTCTTTGGCATGTGTAAGTTCTGCTTTTCAGCACTTTTCTACAATACTACGCACAGCATATATAACAAGCTGTGTGTAATGTTATTGTATTTTTATAGAACTTTAAACCCATTTTTCTCGAAAACATTATAAAGGAAAATTGTATAATACAACAAAACTTGTTCTTTACTATAGGTAATTTCATATCCTTGCCTGCTTGCCTGGTAAAAGCCATATAGCCGTTCTGACTAAATATGTATACAAGACACATAAAGTATATGTAAATATTAGGTGAGACTGAGGTATCCGTGTTTTAGAGTGGAGATCGCGAATTGGCAAACGTAGTGAAGCCCCGTAACTAGGTGGAGCGACGACATACGTAGGGTTGCGGGTTGTAACGGTAAGAGAAGGGAAGATCGTGCCCAGTGGCGTGCTCTGGGAGAAGCCTGTGTACAGCAGAGGCTGATGATGATGATAATGAGGTATCTGTGGAGAGGATAATTTCTAGTGCAAGTGTGGTAAATGTGATGGTGTTTCAGGCTGGTGAGCTACTCGCTGGACATCAACATCCGGTTCCGCAGCTCTCGTGCGCGCGGCCTGCTGGTGTGGTCGGGCGGCCGCGGCCCGCCGCACGACTTCCTTTCGCTGGCCGTCGAGGACTCCGTGCTCGTGTTCAGGTGAGTACTCTCTGGACATCATCATCCGGGCGAAATTAGGAATTAGCTTACATCAATCTGCAGATTTTGCCAAGCAGAAGAGGAAACGCCACTAAACATCCTATGTGGTAGTAGCCCACTCATGCATAAACGAAATATCTCCTTTGAAAAGTATACATTCTATCCTAAGGATATGAAAACCATCGCTCCTAAGAATATCCTCCACACAATAAATCTGTACAGGTCACAGTGTATGTATGTTTGTCTGTATAAATAATGTGTGTAACAATGAAATATTATTTCCAGATATGATTTGGGTAGTGGCGAAGTGGTGATCATAGCGAATCACACGAAAGTGGACGACGGCTTGTGGCACAGAGCACGGGCGACCAGGTCAGTATTTTCTTTTATATCTTTAATAATATAAACGCAAAAGTTTGTAAGTATGGATGGATGGATATTTCTTAGTCTTTCATGCTATACTACTGAATGGATTTTAATGAAACTTTACAATAATGTAATAACATAGGGTCGTAGGCTATAAATTTCATGCGAGTGGAACCGCGGGCACATTAATACAATCCCTGCATAATTCACAAAAACGCTACCTAATCAGTCCCAAGCTCATCAGACCTTGTGTTAAGGGTACCAGACAACTACTCATTAACGCAATTGTTTGTACCGTGCGAGGATTCGAACCCGCGGCCATCAGGAGTAAAGTTGTTTAACCGCTAGACCAGCGAAGCCGTCAAAACTATGTTATTGTAATATGTACTTGTTCATGATTAAAGAAGTTATGTACAAAGGCCCCTATACAGGAGTTGCCATGGCGCCTGCTAACTTTTGCAATGTGATATTTGCTGACAAAAAGTGAGCAGGCGTTGGAAGGGTGCTTGTGACACGATAAAGTTTATTACAATTTGTTACAAATGATATAAAATAAAATAAACAACAAATACTTTACAGGAACCGACAAGCTGGTGTACTTGAAGTGGACGGCCTGGGGTCCGTAGGCAAGGTGTCGCCGGGAAAACTGAAACAGTTGAATACAGACAATGGACTCTACATAGGTATAACATTTTTTATTTACTGGACATACCTTTTTTTCTAATTATCTCTTAGGCATACAGCACCTTCTCTTAGGCATAAGCGTTCACAGCTTAAAGCCCGCATGACGCCAGCAGTGTGCACTAGAGACGACATAATGCTTCCTTCTCTTTCCCACATACTACACTATTGGTGGTATTAATACACATTACAATCCCCCTCCCCTTCTTGTACCTCGTTGCTAATAATGTCTGTCAGATAGACCACCACGAAGTTCCTTCTGGGAGCTATGGTGCTTACCTAGTAAATAAGCCACTATAGTTAGCCTATAGACCTGACCTAATACTCATGTTATTATCCTCCACTGATGTCCTGCCAGCGTTACCGTTAGCGTTATATTATATAAAGTTTGAGGCACAAGTTCTCATTACTAATAATCGCTTTCTCTTAATAAACCAGGTATAGTATAGTAGTAAATGTAGACGTGAAAAGTAACAAACAGACAGAAGGACACAGTTTAGCATTTATAATACTAATATTATCGTAATTTATGTATATATTTTTTTATTTTCAGGTGGTCTACCATCAATAGAAATTAACAGCATGGGCAAATACAAAACCGGCTTAGTGGGATGCGTCTCGCAAATATCACTAAGTGGGGACTTCGATATACCACTGTCGTTATCAAAATTACCACACACAATCACGAACAATGTCGGCAGATGCACCCCATAAAACTGGGCAATTCATTTAAATGAATCGGCCGGTTCATTTAAGTGAATCCACTTCATTTGTTACGAGCGCAGAATTCCTGGTTCATTTATTTTCATTATAAATGAACTGTTCCGCTTATGTTGTCCTGGTTCATATATATTCATTCTAAATGAACCAGACAGTTATGCGCATATAATTATAATGTTAGGTGTGTTTTATTTACTAAGTTCATTTATTTTTTAACCAATTTATGGTTTGAAGTTTTTTTAATAAATGACCAATTGTTTTTTTAATAACTCCGTAACTACATATCAATGAATAAATTATCGGAGGCAATAAACTACAATATGATCGAGATAATATCAGCTGTCTTTACACGAGTTTACACAAAATAATAGTAATAATTGAATACTCTTAGTCAATTTAGAAATAAGTGAACTGATGTCTTTTTGAATATATGTTGTTTTTACTCCTTTATTTCTGATGAATCAATTAATAATTTAGACTTTATTCTTTCTTCCATTTCATTTCCATGGACAATGGAGTAACTTTTCAAAGTGCTTTACTATCTAGTAGATATGAAAAAAAAAAACTATTTGTAATGTTAAAATAAATGAAATTCTAGTCGTACGAGTGGTTTGCACGCATTTTTGTTTCTTCATTTTGATTTTATATGAAATAGCGTGTCACAAACTTGTTACTATGTGAGTGTATTTTATAAAATAGTTCAATAAGTATACATACGAGTATATAGCGTTTGTATATCGAAATTTTCATATGGACGTGGTTTAGATTATTGTAAGTAGATTAATAACAATAGTGTTTGATAATTGAGCTTTTTATATTAAGTGTTAAGCGTGATCGAGGTTTAGTTTGGCAATTCATTTCGTTCGCTTTAATAATGACAAAAACATATAAATATTTTAGCACCGCTTTAGTATTAATAATCATAGAGTATATTTAACAGGTAGTGTAATTAAATGCGCTTTGTATGTATAAATTGAAAAAAGGGTTTAGGGAAAATGATGCAATGCTCTGGCGTAAAGTGTAATAGATTATACAGAATGTTTAGACTAAATAGAAATTATACCAAAACATATTGTGGTTACCACTTACCACCAAGTCGGCCGTCACTTTGTTACGGCATCATTAAATTTTTCAGCACATACATTTCATTAGGCAAACTATAAAATAAAACCTTTCGAAATAAACAAAACATATTTCACATCAATATCTATATATCTATATCTCTTAAAACCGACTGAATGTTTAACGGTGATTGCAGTTTTTCTTTAAACCCTTTTAATTTGCAATTTGGATATTTAATGAATACGACTTTTCGGAAACCCTTTACGTACCCTTATTTGTAAAAATTACATTCAATATAAAAATATATGAAAAATTCGATTCATTAAATAGTCAAAGGGCGAAATGTATTTCCAAATGATATAATATGAACCCGTCGCTGGGAATTCATTTACACCAATAAGTTTGTCAATTACCTACATAAATATTTCACAGGGTGTGAAAGGAAATTATAGAAAAGCATATCTTGATTGTATTAATATTAATTATTACATGATCATGTTCGGTGTTTTATTGTCGGTATTAATTCATGTATATCGAAAAAAAAAATACAATTCGAATATCCATATAATTGGTTGATTTATTCTATTTATTTATATTATTGGGACTATTTTTTTAGTAGGAATGGTAGACTGTAAAAAGTATGGGTACCTCAGTATCATCTATTTGAACTAAGCAGCTTGCTTTGTAAGCAGTGTTTCGGTGCTGATTAGTCAGTGAACAGGATAAGAGGCATTACATCTTAGTTCTCTGGAATAATAACGCATGAGTGGGATTTCTTTATTTATTCTTTTACACACAAAAGTATATACATGGCTGTCTTAATGCCTAATGGCATTCTCTACCAGTCAACCGTCGCGCTGATCAGAGACAATAGAGCGGTGCACTCTAATAATTGATATAAAAAAAAATAGATAAATACAGAGAAATAATATGGTATGGTATCACGATTGTCACATGATATTGACGTTGCGACGGTTACCATGTAGGTATCTACCAATATACTTATTAAATTCTTAAAAAATAAACTTTAGTTATTACGGAAATTCTCATTTTTAAATTAATGGATATTGTACTTATTTTACGATATTTTGATTAATCTATATTTATATTATAAAATATTTAAAGGGCTTAACTGAAAATCAGCACCGATATTCATGGTAACAGTGTTATACTGGGTCGTGACCTGCATTAGCTCTTAACTTATTTTGATTTCTTTGTATTGTTATAACTTTTATTAACATATTTAGTTTTTTTTTTAATGTATAAAAATCATAATTAATTAGATATGGCTCGTTACATTTATTTGTTTACTTGTCTTTTATTTTGTAATAGTCAATAAAGTTATACATATATTATACTGTTCTATTTTCAGTGCAGTTTCAAATTACTTATGTAATTTTTTTATCAATATTTATCTCTAATATTATATTTTTTCAGGATTTATATAATTGTTTTTTTATTAATTAATTAATACTTTTTATTAATTAATTAATATTTTTATATTAGTATTTATTTATGTATTTTTTTTTAATTAGTTAACGTATTCGTGTACGAACAAGCGTGCTCTTCAGTGTTGCCGCAATATTTAATTAATTACTGAATCTGCAATATATACCTATAGGTATGATACCTTTATAGACTGTTTTAGCTTAAATAGACGTTAATTACCAACTTATGAGCATTACATATACGCTTATTTGTCATATCTGAGGTACAAAAAAGAAATACAAAAAAAAATACGAATATTTATAAAGTTGTGCAATTTTATTCTTAATTAAAGGGATTATTACATTATCAAATGAGAGATTTTAATATCAATGTAAGGTACAACAAAACAGTGGCGATACAAACTATATCTTAAGGGAAAATTACTTGCTTACAAACTCTAGTTACAACGAGAGAAATACACAAACATAATAATTCTAAATTTAATATTTATATCAAAAAGAAAGAATACTTCAACAATTATTATAGATAATGTAATACTCCCAATAAAATTCTAAATTTTACAAAACAAATGACTAATGTAATTTTTTATTATTTTAACAAAAACTTATTGTATTTATTTGACTAATGTACCTAATTTTATTTCATTATACATTCCATTACCAAAGACTTATAGTTTTTTATATGTGACATGTTTACATATATATTACATTTGTTTGGAGTATATGTAGACCTACTTGTGACATATTAATAGCTTGACTAGTGTTAGTTTTGTATGTGAAACCTGTCCGATGTATAATATGCCGTTATTTGTACAAAATTATATCAATAAAATATAATTAAAATGTATAAAGGTGTTTATGTAATACTTTCTTTAAAATATTATCTTCATTCTTACGCATTTTTTTCTTATAAATGATAATGGAATGGTCAACCCGCCCTAACGCTTTACGCTGGCGGGGCACCAGTAGAGGATGGTAAGATGGGCATGAGGTCAGGTCAGTTGGCCCATCGTCGCAAATTCTCCATGAATTTATTATATCATGATGGTTTCTAGGGAACCACGCGGATGTCAACCTGACATGGTACATTGCTATGAAATGAAATGAATATTTATTGCTTAAAATGTGGTACATTATGTTACTACAGTTATGTCCAAAATATTTGAAAAAATACTCTATAATCGACTCGAAACTTTTTTAAACTTTAAAAATATTATTTCTAGTAAACAGTACGGATTTAGGGCAAAATCAAATACATTATCAGCAACAATAGATCTTATAACCAAACTAAAAACTAATATAGACCAAAAGCATATCGCTCTGGGTGTATTTATTGATCTAAAAAAAGCTTTTGATACCGTAAGCCATGAAATACTCCTGAATAAATTAAAAGGCATAGGAATTACTGGAATTGCACATAATATATTTAAATCCTATCTATATAATCGCAGACAGATAGTTAAAATAGATAACATTCAAAGTCAAACTAGAATCGTAACTTGCGGAATCCCACAAGGTTCTATTCTCGGTCCCCTATTATTCTTAATATATATTAATAATATATATAGCATTGGTCTAAAGGGGGATATTACATTGTATGCTGATGATACAAGCTTATTCTATTTTGGTCATTCAATAGATGCTATAATTGTGGATGCACAAGACGATCTAAACTTGCTAAACAAATGGTTTCAATATAATCTTCTAACTATTAATATATCTAAAACAAACTATATCATATTCAAAGCAAAAAACAAGAAAATTGTAGATACTATAGACCTAAAGATAAATAATATAAAAATTAATAAAACTGAAATTGAAAAATATCTTGGCCTTCTTCTTGATAGTACTCTCACATGGAAACCACACATTCAAAAGGTTAAATCCAAATTGACTTCCCTTACTGGAGCATTACGAGGTATAACCCGATGTCTTCCTCATAAAGTGCGTTATTATGTTTACAATTCTCTTGTTAAGCCTCACATCGATTATTTAATAGAAATTTGGGGCACAGCTGCTAATACTAACTTAAACCTAATACAAAAATCACAAAATAGACTGTTAAAAGTACTTTTTCATTACAATTACCTTACATCTACCCAAAAAATATATAGAGAAACAAATTTATTAAATATTACACAAACATACAAATATTACACTAGTTTATTAATACGAAAAATATTAACAAAAGACATACATACGCACATGAGCTTCACTAAAAAACAGCAAGTGCAAAAAATGCAACTGAGAAACGCAAATAATTTAATATTAAGGCCACCGAGAACTAACTATGGCAGAAAAACCATTGTATGTGAAGGCGCACAGATTTATAATAAACTCCCCAAAGACATTAAAGAATCGCAATCAATAACTACATTTAAAAAACTATTGAAACACTATATAATAAACCACTATTAGTAATCTCAAAAAATATGTCGCTATAGATATATATAGTTTTTCTTATAATTTATTTATTTTTATTTGTAAATATCATAAATAATTAATAGATAAATAAAATATAAATAAAAATTAATATTAAAAAAAAAATAATAAAAAACATTAAAAAAATAAACTCTCTAATATGCCACATCTAGTACATGATGATGATCTGATACATCTGTGTACATGTGAACCCAGTACCGCTGAGGCCATCTATGCGCGGTAAGCAACCAATAAATGTTATCATTTATGCGGGTAGTTACTGCGTAGACTTTGTTACTGCACCGTCCGCATTATATATGTACACCTTCTTTTGTATTTCCACTAATATTTAATTTTGTATAAGTTTATGCTTTTAGTTCTCATGTTAAGTGAATTATTTGTAATTCTTAATGAGAATAAATATCTAAAACCTAAAAAAACCTACATATGTGGCAATGGAACTATTAATCCACAGTACTAATAATCCCCTTACGCATTACATGCCCATACCGTATAGATTATTTGTAACAATCAATTAAAATTAATCTATAACCATTACTCAATACAACAACTAGTTGTCACAGTATTACTTAATAGTTTCTTGCAACACAAATAGCACTCGAGTACCTACACTCGAGTTAAAGGAGGTGGTACTCGAGTTAAGGGAGATATTACACGTTCATAGGTATTACTTTTTTTTTAAGTTATTTATAAGAGATACTCATATACATTTATCGCTATACTGCTTTTGCTGTTGACAATTTGTTGGCGAATAAATACTCATTTAAACTATAATATAGAACTGTAACTACTTATAGCTAATATACTACTGCAGAATGAACATCAATGGTATAATAACAAAAAAATATTTTACGACATTTTTTCGAGTAACCACCACGTAGTTTTAATTTAATTTATTTCTTTTACATGAACAATCGTTTTTGTTAAATATTCGTGGCGTCATGTACCTTCTTGAAGTAGTTAGAATTTTATTCTAAATAGAAGTGTCAAATTTACTTAAGACCCACCAGATAGAAAGTGGCAACCGTTTGTATGCTAGATAAGCACCACAGACATCAGAATATTTAAAATGGAATGTTGGATCCGGTTACGCGGGAGGATGATAAGATGAGCATGATCATCTTATCATCCTCCACTGGTTCCCCGTCAACATGACCCGTCCCCGTACGCGGATGCACCGTTTCATTACCTCACATAGATAAAAAGACAATTAGCACTGGGCTAGAGTGCTCAGTGTAAATTCTCCAGCAATATCATCATTATAAGTTCTGAATCGTGAACATTAAAAATCAAAGGAAAATAAACCCTACACAAAATATAAGCAGAAAAAACCCACACTCTCTTATAACGTACAAAACGGGGTATCATTCATAACAAATATAAATTCAAGTTTACAATTCCGCCGTAAAAACCCATTATAGTTCAACACACCTTGGTGATTCAACAATCATTTATCATTCACTCACAAACAATTCCGTTCGCTCAAAATGCAGGTGTATAGTAACATTCATTCAATCAGTCGCGGTTACCTGCTCGTGTGAACAGTACGTTTTTAGTTCGTCGTCACAAAGTTACTTCGAAATTCTTTTATTAAATTCGAATTTATAAACTAGGAATTGTGGTTTTAAAAAGTATAGTGGCACTTTTATAAAGACTGTTTACATAAATTAAAGTAAGTGTTTAAGATTAAATTATAGTTGAGAGTTTAAAGTTTTTATTGCAACATTTAGACCCGGCTGCGACGATTTAAACTGTGCAAATACTGTGTGAAATCTTGTGTTTAGTGACAAATAATTTATATCACTTATAAGGTGATCAGATACTTTGCTGGATTGTGGTGGCACAAGTGTACAGCTAGACAACCTTGCATGACCAGTTTTTTCGTAAATATCGAAAGTAAAAGTTGAAATTCTTTAACGTGCATTGAATTTGATAATGTGGAATACAGTTAAGTAAGTTAAACACTATCGAATGAATCTTATTAGAAAAGTAGTGTAATTGGTGTATTTATTATACAGTAAATTACGGTTTTTATTGTAATTAATTTATAATTATGGTATTAATTGTAATTAAGTGCCGACCTGATAATTGGGGTAATAGTAGAGTAGGCAAGTGTCACGATATTGTAGTTTACTACTCCAAGTTAAAGAATAACGTGAATTCGAAATTGAAACATAAATATTGTAGGTCAACTTATTTTTAATTATTCCACAAATTATAACAATGACATTATCGCTTATCCTCCGCTACCCGATTCAATTCAAAATAGGCATATACCTACTTGGCGAATTTTTTTAAAATAATTTTTTCATGCTTACGGCTCTGGATACAAGTCCTTTTTAGCCAAAACTTAACAATAAGAAGCATTATAGGCAGGTAGCCTCGAAATATCAAGAGCTCTTAATAATTATTATCATAATAAATATTCAGGTGAACATATTATTATGTGTATTATTGTAAACAACCTCGAAAAAAATTTTAACTGTTTATCTACCTATCCATTTCAATTAAATTACAAGGATTGACATTATAAGACTACATACACAGTAAAAAATCTAATAACAACAACTAAAATAAAAACTAACATAAAAAATAGGTAATTGAACGATTTGAACGAATGATAATCAAACATAGTTGAGCAGTTTAAAGTTTTTTTTAAAGGATAATAATGGAATGGTGCACCCGCCTGCGCTATCGGTTTACGCTGGCGGGGCACCAGTGGAGCATGATAGGATGAGCATGAAGTCAGATCAGTTAGCCCAACGCGACAAATTCACCGGGAATGTATCACGATGGTTTCCAGGGGGAACCGCGCGGAGGTCGATCTGACATCTCCCCCCCAGTTTAAAGTTTAAGTCGTATATATATACCTACCTGCATTCAATAACAAACGAAAATCCAAGTTTTTAGTTGTTATTATAAAATTGGTCCTATTGGGCCAGCCAAAGAATGTAGCCTATACTGCCTTGTCATTAAGTTGTATGTTTTTAACATACACTAAAAAAACAGGTTTTTATAATCAAAAAGTGGTAAGATACTGTAGGCAAAGATATTACGCCATACAGCCACATGTGACAATTGACCTGTTATAATTTACTTTTTTAAATTTATTTGTAGTGCAATAATTCTGAATTTATAATACGTCATCTTTGTAAGGTAAAAATACTTATACAACCTACTTGTAATGACTAAAGTTTCACAAACTGTCCCAGGAATTATTTGATTAAGTTTTTTTAGGCCAGTATCCATATAAAAATCATTCATCCGTATAATGATAAAGTAAGAATACATTCAGAATTGTTTAATAAAGTCTACCTTGGCTTTGTACGAAGTCGTCAGCTTCGTTACTTGCCTGCGTCTCACCTATTTCCATCACCAAGCAGCTTGTCTTGTAAGCGTCTTGCTAATCTCTGAAAAGGCTGGACCGATTTTGATGGGACTTTCACTCGCAGATAGCTAATATTAGAATAAGTATCTTATCAAATTACTGGTGAATTTGCCATGATGGGCTATCTCATCTGACCTCATAATCATCTTATCCTCCACTGGTGCCCTGCCAGTGTATACCGTTAGCGCAGGTAGGTGCACCATTTCATTACCATCCATAAAAAACCCTAATAAAAAAAAACAGACAGTAGTTATAAAGAAATGGTACTATGAAATATAACTAGGAAGAAATATACTAGGCCCTATTCTATGTATATACCATAGAGAAGATACCAGTGGCCGTTAGTTTGTTGTTCTACATGAATGGATATAAAAAGTCAACCGCACCAAGTTTCAGTGTCACCCTTTGTTAAATATTATGTTCGTATTGTTCTGCATCTGTGTCATTGACAGCATTCATTTGCGTACCTCAAGTTGCGTGACAGACACGACCTTCGTGGTACGAAACGTTACTGCCCCTAAATATATTATGTAAGATGTACTGTTTTAAAGATTGATTGATTGATCAGTGAAAGTCATTGTAAACCATAGGTTTCCAGAGTTGAAGGGAAGGGGATTGTCAATAAATGGACTAATAACCCCCTTTGATGGCAATGTACCATGTCAGATTAACGCCAAAAGCCATCGTTATAAATTCATAGTAAATCTACCACGTTGGGCTCTCTGACCTGACCTCATGTTCATCTTATCATCCTCTACGGGTGCCCCGCCAGCGTAAACCTTTAGCGCAGGCGGGTGCACCATTTCATTATCATCCATAAGACTATACAAAATTATAATCCAAAAGTCGTGGGTTCGATTCTGGACGATTCCAATAAAAAACTAAATACGATCGCTTTACTATCCAGAATTATGATCCAAATGTACCGGCAACACAAGGGGAGTGGCAAATGTGTTGCCAGCCTCTTAAGAACAAATAAACTCTCTTCTTGAACATTTCAATATCGTATGGGTTCGGAAATACCAATGCTGGAAGGTGATTCCACAATGTTGTTATACGTGGAAAAAAAACATAATTTGGCCGACTTAAAGAAAACTGAGTGCGTCAGTTTATATTTTTGTCTGTTTAGGTGATGCTGTCGATAAGAAACCTAACAGGTTTTGTTCAACACGAAACTGCCTATGACTTACCATCAGATTCTTGACACCTCAGTAGGTAGATAAATCTGTCGAGGTTTTCCTTTTAAATACTAGAAAGATATTGTATCTGCAGATGGTTCTTCAACAACGGGATGCTAAGGTTTCATAAGAGTCAGCAACGTATGACACTTATTGTTTTAGGCTTTCATAGATTCCACACATCAGAGGACCTGTGTGCTTGAATGGTAGAAAAAAATTACTAACTTATCACGCGAGTAAATCTGCAACAGGTTACAGCAATCCATAAATTATAATAGAACTCATTGTTTCCCATGAGAAAACCGGAAAAAATACGCTAAGAATGACAGAAGTTATGGGAGCGTATCGTCTTCAAACATAACAGAAATATTACACGCAATTGTTCGAGTTCACATGTTACCTATACCTTTTATAGATACTTATATGTACATATAAACACTATATAAATATATAGTTGCGTCCTTTGACTAGTAGCATATATATAGTACATATTTATGTAGATGTATGTGAAGTTCCAACGTGAAATGATAGTGCGATGACTTGGTCGGACCATCGCATGGCTGATCGTCCACGAGGTCTAGTATCGAATAACATATAGGCTATAAATTTCATGCGGGCACATTTAGAAATCGGTAACTATAAAAGCTCTTTGCCCGTCTAGCAGTTCACTAGCAGGCCCCTGCTAGATTTGGCTGGGCAGAGAGAGAAACACGAGCGGTGAAGGTGAGTGTTGGAGTACGTCGGCAAAGGGTTAAACCTACACCCGGGTCACAAATCCGGAAACTGCTCGAAGTTTCTCTCTCTCTACCACACGATGGACTCGGCACCCGTGAAACACGAGCGGTGAAACAGTAAGTGCGTCGGCAGAGGTCCTACTCCCAGGTCACAAGTCCCGGGTTTGTCACCCTGATGTAGTGCTCAGAGTTTCTCTCTCTGCATGAATATGAACCCGGTACCCGCATCATGAAATCATGGAATGCTAAGTTCGTCTCTATTCGTTTACGACAGGCAGTTAATATTTTTTAATCAATTCACCTCAATCTCAGTTAGATGAATCATCTGAATCAGTAATTATATAGGTACTAATAGTTTTTATAATAGGTAATTATTTTACAAAGCCACCTGGTTAATATTTTTGTGGTGTTGTTTAGAGCAGACGAGTTGTATTTAATTACTACATAATTACAGTACCTATATTTGATTCACGGACAATTCCTATAGTGACGCATTTAGGGCTTTTTATAGCGGTACCTTGCTATGACAGTAGTTTGCGTTATGCTATTCTTCTTTGTGAAACAAGTAGGGATACGTCATGTTGGCCTGACTTTGGAAACAAAACATCTTAGTCACCAGTAAGAACTCAATTTTTTTATATTTAAGCAAACTGGCGATCGAAATGCTGAAAAATGGCAATATAGTCTATATATAATAATATATAGGTATTATTATATAAACTGCATAACAGACATAATTACATTCCTCTTCGATCGACATCCTCTCCGTTCGATCTCCACTTTGTTCAATCCCCCGTCAGATCGATGCCGCGTCCAATTCAAACGGGGATCGAAATTATGACGGCCTAAGCCTAGGTTCGAACTCCTAGCGGTGCCCTCAGACTAAAGTAGTATCCGTCAGACAGGAGTTGGCCTTCAGCCGTTCCATTAGTCCTTCCGCGGGTTTGGAGTGCCATCTGCACTGGTCCCCTATCGCCCGATGAAGCTGTAAAGGCCAGCTGCGGCCAAGCATTGGAGTAGTCCGAAAAAAAATCTATTCCCAAAAATGTATTCATTTAAACCTTTATAAATCTTACTAATGTACTTTGTGAGTATGAATGGATGGATTGGTGGATATTTGTCTTTTACGCAAAAAGTACTAAACGAATTCTGATGAAACTTTACAGTAATATAGCTGCATATATCAGAATAACCCATAGGCTATAAATTTTACAGCAAGTGTTAAATAAATAACTAGGCTCCTATTACTCAACCTCCTTGAGATGAAAATAATCTTGAAATACTATTGTAATCTGTCACCACCATATCTTAATTATGTGTAAATAATATAACGAAATATTTATAATTCCCATGATTATTGACAAACATATCCGACAGCCGTAATTTCAAATGCACGTATCGATAACAACAGCCGTCTGCGTATAAAAATGTTATAAGTCATAAGGTCGATAATTGAACGATAATTCTTTGGTCTCTAGCAATACCAAGGTCTGCATCATGTAGTAAGTACACATAGCAGTTCACAGAACCGGTTTTTCGAGTTAATTAGCATATTTTATAGACTAGCAGGCGCCTGTGTTCGT